CGATCCACATATCCAGCAGAGCGTTGGCCGCCTGCTCCATGTCGACGTCGGTCGACGTGTCCGACTTGAAGTTCAGCGGCTCGCAGTGGCGCCATTTCATGAAGTAGCGGCGCATGCTCAAGCCCGGCGGCCACGCTCCCTCCTCCGGCGGGTCCCAGCAGGCCCAGTCCAGGACGAGCCGCACAAGGTGAGGCAGCGCGACGTCTTTTGATAGATTCTTGAGCGAGTTCAAGAGGTCGTCCGTCTGACGCACGTTTGACTCAGATCATCCGAGACACTGTGAGCACGCGACGCACCATGATGTACTTCATCAACAGGACCTCCGTCATCTCCCAGTCAAAAGGCCCATTGTACACACCACGCAGGTTGCGGTTGAACTGCTCAAGCAGCTCAGCCGTCCACTCGTGCGTGGGCGGCACCTGGTCCGTGAACTCTAAATGTTTGCGCGTGCCGATGAAATCCACGCGTTTCTTCACCGCGGCCCGAAAGTACTTCTGCGTATGCTTCTCCGTCCATGTGCCGACCATGGTAGGTGTTGCGTGTAGAGATGCGATGGGCCCGCGGGCGTGGACAAGCGCGTGATGCGGTGTTGCCAAGATTGATGAACGCGGCGAGAGCAGGCAAAGATGCCGAAAGAAGCGACAACGGAACGATGAAGCGCGAAGTGGACCAACAAGCGCCTACCGCTGTACGCGTCAACAGATCATATGATCGCGTCCCCAGGGGCCGCCCAAGTGTCGCGCTCGCGTGCGTGTCTCACATGACCGTGTGTGGGCTACGCATGTTTGCCTTGCGCTCCAAGATGATACCGGGCGTCATCGTCGGTTTCAACTGTACCAACTTCACCATGTATGCATCACCGTTCATATATGGGTGGGGCAGTGCCGAATCAGGACTGCAACGCAACCGAGGTAAGACATTCCCCAAACGTCCGCGCCTCGCACTCATCCAAGCTCAGAAGGAGATACAAAACAGGCACCGGAACCGGTGTCGATTTCCAGCGTGCGAACTCGTCCTCTCTACATAACTGTTTCCGCCGCTGTGCCTACTGACATATGTTTGGTGGCAGTACATTACGGCTCACGAGAAATGCTCAGTTTGCACATGTCTTCAGCATGCTCGCTGTGATGTGCTTCCGGGCTCTATGAGCTGCTCCCAATGCGTTGACTTGGGCGTCCAGATACTGTGTACCGTGACCGTGGTGAGCATCGCATTTCTCAATGAACATAGCACCGACCAGGTGTGCTTGGGCAGCAACCATCGAGGGCACGCATGTGGCAGCGCGTCAAGAGTGAACCAGCCTACTACCTCAGCCACCACTTCATGGCCAATCTGCAATTGGTTTTACACGCATGGGAAGCCCAGCGCGCGCGCCATGCGCACGCTTATGAACACTTTCACCACACAGTATACCCGCGTCTTTCCAATCCGCTCTCGCCGCTCTACGAGAGCGATAAGACGGAGTATCTTGAGATTTACTATAGTTGGAGAGCGGTCAAAACAATGACGCTCATGCTATACGCATACGATGGAAGTTACAGGCGCTTGTTACAACGGCTCAGAGAGCAGCGCGCACGTCAGGAGGCACGTTCGAGACTTCGCGTATGGTCTTACTAGTAGAGTACATACTTCTTCTTGTGGAATCCAAATCAAGATCATGTGCGTCTATGTATGGATATGCGTGGCGCCCCGCGCACGTTCCCGCATCTGATCTATCAGATATGCTGCAGTGGCCGGCGGCACTTGTACTCATTGTTCGACTCCGATGACTGCGATAAACCTGCCGCAACACACCGGTAACTTGATGTCAGCTATGATATTGACCGGTTGCATTGACACGCCACATGCGCAGCAGAGAGTCGCATGCGACGGGAAGTGACGGTCGTGGTGCGTGGTGATGTCCCATGACAGACGCGTCCAAACTCACGGTTAGCATAGCGTCGTGCGAGCGAACGATGTATACAATGTCAGGCGTCAAACGCAACCTACTGCGCGGTGCGCGCACATGAGGTGATCTGCGCACGTTGCACTGATCATGCCGGTGATGATCCCTGCTCGTTCATGGTGAGCTTGCGCGTCCATGCATTCATGGATCTGCCATATCAATCAATGTTCCTCAGGCTCGGAACAACAATCCAAGGATGCGCACCGCATAGTACATACTACTGCGCATATTGCCACTTGTATAAATAGGCGCATTGGCGCAGGACTCTGCGCATGCGCAATACAACGTCGCGACATCAATGCGGATACCGGGGTGCAACCACTGATATTACCGTGTGAATGCAATACTGCTCACTGTGGCCGAACGGAGGTTCGTAACGCAGGAAGCGCCCGCCGCCACACAACTCACATGACGCAAAACATAGCACTCGGTATGTCAGGTGCCGTCTTCTCTTCTCAAGTCGCTGCCATGTCCAGCTCCAACACTCCCCAAAGTGTGTCTGCCGGTGGTAGTGGAACGACGTGCGAAGCCAGCGGTGAGTACCGAGCATTTATATTCCAAGTAGCGGACTGACCATTCTCAAGCCGGTGAATACTTAGCGTGCCCGCGCCGTGAACAGCCAAAATCAGTACGGACCCCTGCTAGTTGTAGGTACTCAGTGGCGTCCAGGGCTGACTCGCTACCTACAGATGCATGGCGCCGACCGGTGTGCAATGTGCATCTTCCACCGCAGTGCCAATTGCGACGTACGTCCAAACTCGGAGACATGCGAGCAGTGCTTGACACGCGGATTGGGAATAATGTGCACGGTAGCGGTGAGTGTCCATCATGTCGGTATCTGGGTAACCCTCAGACTAACTGTGCCTGCACCGGCAGTCATCGTGGCCGCACAGGATGAGTGCCGCGTTTGACAATAACCCGCACGAGTACATGTCGGCCGAGTTCATGGCCAAATTCATCAAATTCGCGGCTCCGTACGCGGGTAGGGTACTAGAGCTCATGGGCAAGCGCATGGCGTATACCTGTGAGGCTGACACTCAACTCGTGATACGCGTGGATCAAGTTTGGGACCCTAAGGCTCTGGAGCGTTACTTGGATGAGCGGCGCGCCCGCTTCGACGCGATCGTATGTGAGCAGAACCTCATGGATACGTTATGGCCAGTGATGGACCAGTACATGGGCTTGTACAAAAGGGAGGCAGAAGCGATCGCCCTTGCGGACATGTTAGAGATTGAATTGAACGCGGACTGGAATCGTTTCATGTCCTAGGCATCTTAGTATCTGTATCTCTGTCTAATTTTGAGCGGATCTGTCGTTTGTACATGGGACATCGGGGTGTGATCGGCAATTCCCAGATTAGCGATAGCCTTGTGTGTGTCTATGTACGGACATCTGTAGCGCTCAGAACCGATCACTTCATCACACACAATCGATCAGATTGATCTGACAGCTTGTTATCGTGTCTCAGATGCTGCGGCTGCAATGTGCATGCACACTGAGACCATGTGCGTGCATTATGTTCTCAAGCATTGGGAAGTGAGGTGATGCTGCGCGCTCGCGTGAATCCCAATAATGTATGTGCGCATACTACGAAACACAGTACTCCTCCAAGGGGATCTTGCGCGGGAGGGTGGGATCCCCTGTTACATGGTGCGCGCAGTACCGGAGACAATAGGTTACTTTGAGGAACCTAAGGCATGGTTCGCGATGCTGACATGTGCTTGAGGGGATCTCGCGCACGCGCGCGAGATCCCCTGGGAGACTGTGTGTACTACATTTGAGTACACGGACGCGTCGTGCGCGCGTACCCTTTCTAGGGGATCTCGCGCGGGTGCGCAGGATCCCCTGAGACCCCATGTGCGTACGCTGTGCGGGTACATGGAGGTATCATACATGCATATACTTTGTAGGGGATCTCGCGCACCCCTGGGGACTGTGTGTACTATGTTTGAGTAAATGGATGTGTCATGCGCGCGTACCCTTTCCAGGGGATCTCGCGCGGGTGCGCAGGATCCCCTTGGAGCCCATGTGCGTACGCTGTGCGGGTACATGGAGGTATCATACATGCATACCCTTTCCAGGGGATCTCGCGCAGGTGCGCAGGATCCCCTGGGAGCCCATGTGCGTACGCTGTGTGGGTACATGGGGGTATCATACATGCATACCCTTTCTAGGGGATCTTGCGCGGGTGCGCAGTATCCCCTGGGAGACTGTATGTGTACAATGTTTGAGTACATGGATGTGTCGTGCGCGCGTACCCTTTCTAGGGGATCTCGCGCGGGTGCGCAGGATCCCCTAACACATGGTGCGTGGTGCGTGCATGGCACATGGGACTGGCATATGTCCCAGGGGATGTCGCGCCAGTGCACAGACCCCTGACATTCAGTACTGGATGTTGGTCTTGACGCAGTCCACATAACTGGTGTTGAGAGGTGCGCAGGGGATCTCGCGCGCCCGCGCGAGATCCCCTGAGACATGTAGGTGCGGCCCGAAGTCAGCACTTGCCTTATATGGTAATGGCCCAAAAAGGAATTACCATATAAGGCAAGCTGAGGGCACGCTGACCCCCCTTGGACTTAGGTGAAGGGGGTATAATTGTACACTGAGTCACTCACCCGCGTTTTGTCGTCGATTTTTTTATCCTGCTCCTCTGTCACAGAAGGCCCTCCCATTAAGCCAACTATCTCCTGCTCGACTGTTGTGATGTACTCCGGCATATCCGTCCACTTGACCGGAACGAACTTGCGCGCGTCTTCGTCGTCTGAGCCGGCGTCTCCTCCTTGGCGGGTCGGCGAGCGTGACGTGGCAGCGGCGGAAGACATTTGAAGCAGGCCTGAGGTGAGGTGAGCTGGGCAGCAGAAGTTTGCGAGGAGACTTGTGGTGTTGGGGACCGAAGACGTTGATGTTGTGCGCGCCGCCCGTTACGCGACGCGACAGAGCATGTGACCCAACGGAGCGTGCGCGGGAGCCGAACCCCCGGCGATCATTGCTGGCGCTTGCGACGTCGCTATCGCCGCGGTTCTTCCTCGAACCTTAATCTCTAAAGTCTAACGTCATGACGTGTCAACGTAAGTGCAGTGTTCTACTACAGCTACCCGTCTGTGGATCTCACATGTTGCCATCCCCGTAGCTGACAATGTGGGGAGTTCGATTCCAGGCGGCGAACGTCCCTGTACAAGGGGTCACAAGTTCCGCCTACCCTCGGTCGCGCCGGGAACAGAAGCGCCGGCGAAGGTACCATTACACTTCTCTTACCATCTATAGACACTGACCGTTGTCGTGCAGTCATTGGCGCATCCAGACTCCGAGCAAGGCGTGGATGTAGCATCCCATTTAGATTTAATGGTGCGCATGTCCTCCGGTAACTTGCGACCAACCTGTTGACCTGTCCATTTGTCGGTGCGGTACATTTGAAGGCCCGGGAAGCGGTCAAGCCAAGGGGCCGCCCATCCGGTCATGTCCATTTCAGTCTGGACGCGGACACAGCTGGACGTAAAAATCCGGAGGATAGGGAAGGTAAACAGGCTGAGCTATTGTCTAGTCAGGTATGTGACATGCATCGTGGAAACATGACTTACATATTAAATGCGGACCGATTGTTCAAGCATGACCTGGCCTTGGCTGCTCTGACTGAGCACAAAGTGACCAGTCGGAAATGGAACCCCCGTGAATTCACGATGCCATTGGTACATGCACCCGGGCAGTGACAGGTAAGCAGTTTGCCGCCTGCCGAGGTATGCATTTCTTTTTAACATGGCCATAGACACAATGCATTACGAGGGATGGAACCGGACATGATCCGCCCCAGATTCCGGCCGAACCCGAGCATCCTACCCCCCCTTCTTCGGCCTCACCCATTATTCCCGCGATATCCCAGCTTGTCAAGGTCCCGGCGGATCGGATCATATCTGCCGAAACCAGCACACCAGCTCCCAGTCCACCAAAAGCTAAGGCAATCGAAGAGGATGTCACCATGGGTTCCCCGAGCACAGGACCGGCCGACAACAACAGTTTCTCCTTGTCGGAAACACTCTGCACCGAAGCGGATCCATCCGGTGATTCTGACATTGAGGTCATCGAGTCCCCAATGAACAAGCTCGTTTATCGGAAGCCACGGCATGGGTCCTGGGCCCCCTCTCCGATCATTATATCGGACTCAGAGCCTGACAGGACAGCTTTCGGTGAGACTGGATTGCTGTTCGAACCATCCCCTGAAATGATATCCTGCAGTAGCACTTCTGACGAAAGCACCGATCGCATTCCTCACTTCCCGGACAGTGTGCAACCTCCCCTTCAGCAGGTTATAGTCTCTGAGGGCCAGCAGAACTGGACCAGGTTGCCTTACCTGTTTCAGGAAGGCGAGCTGCCCGAGGACCTCATACCTGCGGGGGCCCCGCTGGCACTGGCGCCAGATGACTGGGAGCCATTGGTGGGGGGCGGTGGACTGGTCGCAAAAGTGAGTGACATGTGCTTTGATTTGGTGTCCTGAGCTCATATGTTCCAGCCTGAAGACATCACATTGTCACCGAATCACTCAAGCGCCATTCCTGAAGATGGGATCGCAGCAAATCACTTTCATATCTTACAGCACGGTAAGTTTGTGAAGCTATGTTACCGTCTCCACCCATGACCCAGGTCCTTGGTTCGCCGCCGAACACTCGCCAGCCCTCGGCGCCGAGGGGTGGCCACTCTGCGGCGCCGCGCGTTGGTCAGTGTGCGGCGCCAAGGGTTGGCCACTCTGCGGCACCGAGGATTACAGAGTCTGCGGCGCCGAGGATTACACGTTCTGCGGCGCCGAGGGTTGGTCAGTGTGCGGCGCCGAGGGTTGGCCAGTGCTTGGAGTCCAAACCTGAGTTCTGTGCAATGCTGTCGCGTGTAGCCTAGATCGTGTTACAGTGGGCGCACCATGTTCATTTACATTTGGTCATCTCTGCAGATTTAGCAGACCGTGTTGTCTCGAGCATGGAGTCCGCACCGACGGGCAGGATGTACACATCTCCAGCTGAGGCCACCGCTCCCCTGGATCCCTTTCACAATCTCTGGACCAGGGACAGTGGGAAGCCTCTCCAATGGCCTCGCACCGGTATGCCATTTTTCTTTCTCTTGTGCTTGCGCCGACTCATGGCATTTCATTGTTATTACAGTAATCGGACCGTCTTACAGTGGCCAAGCTCCTACGGCTTTTTCGGATCTTCTTCATCAGCGGACGATACTGGAATCCCGGATCGAATCCTTGGAGCAGCTGCGACGTTCCAATGCCCTCAATGCAAGAACAGTAGGCTGGGTTCTGGCATATTACAATTGCGCTGAGTGGCCTCAGGCACCTCAGCAGTGATCAAAACTCCAGCATTTGATACATGTGATGCACATATATTACACTTGACTCTATATCTGTCCATGTAGCCTGTATTTAGATGTATTACATCCAGGCTATGTAGGGTCTAGGTGCTCTATTGGCAAAGTTGTGAGAACGGGATAAGTGAGACTGCTATAGAGTATGATGATCTCTTATGGAAAATATCTGCTGAAAATGAGGAGACCATGGAATGATATGGTACTCACAACTTATCTTCAATATCAGCCTGTGTTCATAGAATATGTGTGTCTATGCCAACAACTAGGGAGTGGAATTACATTGTTTGAACTGGTTAATGCCTTCAGATTGAAAGAACTATCATATGTATACATACATCATACAGTATACTGTATACCATATAGGTGGTATATTTATATTCTTAAATAGAATATTCTTAAATAGTTGCAGCCATAGTAGTGATGGATATGATTGCGGTCATTTCAATTGGGTCCAAGTTTTCTGATGATGTTCATTGTGTATATTGTTGCACTCACGTTTGCCAATAATCCTTCACAATGTTTTGTGAAACGTGACTGAGCTTACCGTGTGCTGATCCATATGTATTCAATGCTCATATCTTCATTGCCTGAGTATTGTTCCATCTGTGAATTTCCATGTTGATACTGGAGGTTTGGCTATGATAGCTTCTGAGCCTAGTCCTTGATATTGTCCCAAATACAGGATGATAACAGGTCTATCATGGTGCTGTCACACTAGTCGGCCGGTCTGTTCTTTGCGAGAACGGGCGGCCGCCCCGTTACATGCATGGCCGGCCGGCTGCTTGGCATTCAGCGCCATAACAAACCACTTGGTAAAGCCCGGCCGAGCGGTTCTCATTGGGTTCACTCACGTTTGGTCAGTCGGTAACTTATGGGAGGGTAACATGCCCGGCCGGTTGGTTACACACGGGGTGGCCGCTTCAGTGATTACGTGCCGGACTCACTTGCTCAACGGCACTTGGCACCATCAGCCGATGATAATTCGATGGTCATTTCAATGATCGGCCCTTGCTTGAATGACACATGGGTCTTCCGAGCGGCCGATGGTTATGCAACTATATATGGTGGTCAGTGGTCAAAGTGCTCTACATGTACAAGGCTTCCGCCCACCGGATGATTTAGGACCTTGATGTGTCTCGCCGGCCGACATGTTGTGTTAGTCAGGTTGCCATCACCGGCTGGAACGTGGTAAAAGTCGCAATCATTTATAGGGAAATGATAGTATGACATGCATGTCCCGAGGGCCCGGTGTGATTTGTATACACATGCGTCAGGACCGGCCGGTGCATTAGCAACGTTGGGCCACATCACCGGCCCGTTGACGAACAAATATGGGGCGACGCTGGCTGTGGTTATGTGTGGGTCTGCGACATTGTCGTCTCCGTCGGCCGGTGCATTTCCAATGAATCCGGCTAGACGTCGGCCGACAGGCTGATGCCGTCAAAACCCGTTATGCCGGCCGCCGTCGGGTTTCCGTTGACGACGGGGAATATGCAGCCCGGGTGTACCGTTAGGAACGGGTATGGTCCGCTCATGAATGTGTACCTCCCAATCCAGGCAACGTTGGTGCCGTGCGAACGCCTCTTCTCCTCAAATGCCGACACGGACACCCCGAAGCGCAACCGCATCGGCCCCCAGCTCATGGAGGCCTTGCAAGTCTTGAAGTACCTCATCAAGAGGAACCAGCTGTCCTTCACGAGGCACCTGCAGAGCCTGAGCAACCTGGTCGACAATCTGCTGGCTGAGAAGGAGGAGGTTTTGAGTGTCCATGCTGATCTCGCTGTTGATGATATATTCTCGATCATTTAACAGTGTTGTTGATCTCATAGCTTTGCGTCTGGCTTTGTTGTCTTCTGTATCACGTATCCCATATCACGTACTGTGTCTCCTGTCATGCCTACCATGTCTCTGTACAACTATATTGAATGTATATTGAACGCCACATCTGAAATGCAATACATCACCTCTGTGACTGCAACGTTGGGCCTTAAGTGTGAGATACTTACATTAACAATTTAGTGATCACAGTGGTAACATTTTTGTAACGATGTTACTGATCATGGTAACAGCGACTTTATATTGATGTTACTGTACAAAAGATTGGTTGAGCCGCCACTTCAGGCCCGCAGAGCTGGTTCACGCTGAGTCAGAAAAGCCAATTGACACCCAGAACTGAGCCAAAATGTCACGCCTCGAGCTGGCCTGAGCCGAGCCTTGAGCTGATTCATCAATCGGTTCAGCTCAAGGCGGCTCACGAGCCGCGGCATCACTAGGCTTGATATGATTTTGCATGACATGTGAAGTACAGAAAAGACTACAAGCAGAACAATGGATACATGGATGGGGATGATGATATGATGGATTTCAATTTGATGCAATATGATAGCAATATGGCAGACCTTGACGGTATAGCCAGCAATATGAGGGGTTTCTGAGCCACATCACTACATCAGGCATAGATGATTTATACAGCACAAAGGTGTGTCCAAAATCCCAGTGGGTTGCATACCAGTGGACATGGTCCTCCCCCTACACAATATACCCACCTGCCAAGCATGAACAATCACATCTATTACTCCCAGATTTTGTACTCATAATTCTACATCCAATTAGAACATAATCAATCCAAGGAATCTTGCGCAAATTCTTAGTGGGTTGTGTGCTAGTGGTCGTGCCCCTCCCTTGGCTGAGATGCCCACTAACCAAACGAGAACAGCTGCAGCTATTGCTCCCAAATTTGGTACCCATAATCCTACATATCAATGGGCCATATTGACTATAAAGAACTTTCCCCAAAATTGTAGCAGTTCACATGTTAGTGGTCACAGCCCTCCATGGCCAGCCGCAAGCAACAGAAGAAGAGCAGCAAGTTGGCCGCCGCTGCTGGTGCTACCAGGGCTCCTACACGTGCTGCTACCGGGGTGTCTGCTCCCCCTGCTCCAGCCGCCGCTGTCAGCGACCGACTCGAGGATTCTGGCAAAACCATTGACATCGACCCCTAGTGTTCATTGAGAGGATTCACTAGGATCAAGCCACTGTCATGATCGAGTTAGCCATGTTTCCTGAGATTGTTTGCCAGATCATGAATCCTTAAGGCGAGAGGATTAACACTGCAGTGGGAACAATGGCTCATCTCAGCCTATGCGATATGCGTGCAATCATTGCATTGGGTGCTCATGGCAGTGAATATGTGCGTCAAGAGGGTTCACTTGTGCACAGCTGCATGGCCTCAGATGCCTTTTGGGGACTGCAGCTGCTGCAGTGTGTCTGTGCTTACCCTTTTAGGAGCTGCAGGTCTCTGCAGCTGTCTGTGCCTACCCTTTTGGGTGCTGCAGGTCTCCGCAGCTGCTGCTGCTGCTGCTGTAAACTGCCCCTCTTTACAGGGAGTATATAACTAGTATCTTCTTGATCCTTGCGCATTGTAAGGAATATAATTTTCTGCTATCTGGCCTTTCAAGGCTGCATCACACTTATCTATCAATTGTTCAGAATTCCATGAGCAATTGCTAGTAACTTCACATTGAACCTGTTTCTTCTTCTGGGGCTGCAGGGTTCACTACTAATAGTTGGACTGAGAAGCCTGGGCTTGTGTTGATAATTCGCAATATAAGGAAGAACTGCTGATAAGCAGAAAATCTATCATTTCATGTCAGTCATCTTACAGGCCATTGGGATGGCTTAATACATACTCCATTTTCTGACAAACATGTAAAGAGTGTTGTCAGCCAAGACAGATCAATCTTTGACTAAGGATGCCCAGACATGATCAGTCAGCAAACTGGGGATGGGGCCAGCTCAAGCAGCCTGCCATAAATGCATGTCACAGGGTAAACACACAGATCACAGCACCCATGTGACAGATCTGCCCTGTCCAGACCCAATCCTGGACCATGATCTGAGTATCTTTACTGGCCACGGAAGAAACATTCTCATGGATCACCCCAGAAGGCAAACCCAACTGGCCATGATGCTTAGAGTCCATTCAGCACCACAAAGCAATCATTTCTTGGTCTGCTTCTCAAGAGTGTTCCTTCAGCATCCAAGTGTGTCCAAGCACAGATTGATTCCTGCTTGTTTGTTCCCTTCTGCTTATTCAGCACTCGTGCTCAGCATTGAGCTGCCCATTGCCCATTGTCAGCTCAATGTCATCCCGACTGCCTGGCTGACCAGTTGACGGGCTTATTCACAATGTGAAACATCACTCATTCATTTTCATGTCATGTTGAACTAAATACTATGGGAAGCACAGTCTGCATGCAGTGCATAGAGGGTTGCTAGGGAAGGGCAGAGAGCAGCTCATTGCTGTGCTTGACGAGCAAAACATGGCAGGTAGTAGGTGGGGCATTGGCAGGCTCAGCTGCCCCAAGTCAACTGTTTCGATCAATGCAAGCCCTGGGGACGCAGAAGGTCAGTAAACCTTCCAACTCCAAGGCACCTGGCAGCCCGGCAGACAGACTCTTATCCAAACAGAGAAAACAAACTTACTAATTATCTTGGTGATTTGATGTTATGGGCTTGATACTGCGCAGCGTGTTGATGAGGGAACAGAAGAACTCACATCAGCAGGCATTCTGAGTATATATAAGATGGCTCACTTTAGGACAGGGCCATTGGCAGCTTGTTGGTGCCCGGGACCATCCTCCACATTGTGTGGTTCTTCCATCACATCTGTCATCACAATGCTGCTGTTTGCCACCCTGCCAAGTTCAGGGAGTTTGGTGACTGCATGACAGGCCATGGCATCAGGAAAGTGGCACATTGTCTCAATCGGCCTCACCAGTTTAATCTATACCTAGCTTGTCTCATTGCCTCACAGATTTTTGACTTGGCTGGCCGTAGTTTTTTGTGCTTACTGATTGATGATGCAAAGAATGTATTACAATGACATCTGTACTATATCAACACAGTATCACCACTGAATCACACTACCCTCATTCTGGCTGCTGCTCAGAATCAAATCTGTGTTCACTGCTGGTGTTGGTGGGTAACTCATTGCGGGTGTTCTGCACTTGGGCTTGTTCTCTCCTCATATGGATTGATCTGTAGACTTGGGCTGATGAGTGAAGATTGGATACTGCCTATCTTTGGGTGTGACATGAGGTGTTGCACCCTGTTATGGTCCGCACCTTCATGGTTGTCACCTACTACTCCATGCAAACACCCTTCACTGATATTCCAATTTATAAACTAAACATGGCTGAACCAAGTATTGTCACTTTCACTCAGTCCTTTCATTGGTAGCAGCCACTACAGACTTAATTGATTACTTTTTGAAGCAATTCCTATCTTCAATTGACCAATCTTTGCAAAGTCAGTTGTACTTCAGCCATTGTCCTAGTCCTCATCTATGCTACTTATGTATGAACTTGCCAGTTGAGTTACTTGCTAGTATGTATTAGGTATACCTAATGTCAAATTGTCTAAGTCACAAACCATCTAAGTCAGTATCAGCTGATCAAGGAGATTGTTCCAGTGAATCAATTGACTTGTCTAGACTTGTGAGTTGTGAGCAAACCAAGGCCAATTGGTTTGGTCCAAGACAATGCAGGCATTTGACCAAGGACATGGACATAGCCGCTGTTTACTTTAGAATCTTCTAGGACTCTTCATGAGTATGTAATCACTGTCATAGCATATAAAAGAATAACACTCTCTTGACATCCAATTTATTGGTGGAGCCACTCAATCGTCTATAGCCCTGCACCGGACAACATTAAGGTTACTCATACATATATCTGTGTGCTAAGTTGATCTACATGGACCCCTTCAATAGCGCGCTACTCTGAAGGGTTTGGTAAGAGTAAGCTTCACCATAGGAGTCAGAGTTGGGTTCATGTGTTACTGGCATACCTCAATGTTTGACACACACACTCCCTACAATCTCACTCAATAATACATTGCTTAACCACATCAACCATAGTTGTCACTCACTAGTGAGCCACTTTGGACTTGGTGAATACTTGTTCCAGCAAACTTCATGCTCAATTCAAAGTCAATTGCTCCTTTTGGTTATTGTATTACTCCTCTATGCAATGAGATAATCGAAATCTACTTAGGTGACTACAATTACATAACTAACTGAAGGTTGTTACTAAGTAAGTATTTGGTAAGTTAGCAACCCTAGTCCGTAACAGTATGTGAGAACAAAATTGGTCCAGCAAGCACAAGTGTGGGCAATAGGGTTGTTCAGAGTAGGCTGTCCGGGCAGCTATTGAGCCTGCTATCCCATCCAGATGTCCGAGGCTCGACTCCGGCAAACACCGACAGCGAGCCTCAGCTGTGATCCTGATCACTGTCGCAGGGGCCTTGCTGACAGTGTGCGGTGGCACCGGCACTCGTCACTCAGTCGGAATGCAAACACAAGGTTTGTACAGTGGCTGACCCTGAATTAGGGCTTGTTACAGAGCCCAAGTGCGGGCAGTGGTAAATTGTGAATATTAACTGTTCTTGAAGTTGCTGTATGTATCAAAATGTATTGAGAACGATGAGAAGCAATTATTTGCCACAGTGCACAAAATACCGAGTTACTGTGCAATTCCCAGCTTGCCACCCTTGCTTACCGATGATCATAACTTACCAAATTTAGTAACAATTGCCAAATGTAATCTCTATATTATGCACACCAATTCATAATGAGACCAAGCATGATTACTCAACTCTATGATAGACGGCTTCATAAGTGTGTATATTTATGACACCATGCTTGCATATATCTACAACACTTGGGCTATTATGGGCAAGACATGATGGTAGCCCTAATTCAGGGTTAGCCACCATACAAACCTCGTGTTTGCGTTCCAACTGAGTGCCGAGCGTTGGTGCCACCATGTGCCGTCAGCGAGGCCCCTGCGACAGCAATCAGGATCACAGCTGAGGCTCGCTGTCGGTGTTTGCCGGAGTTGAGCCTCGGACATCTGGATGGGATAGCAGGCTCGATAGCTGCCCGGAGGGCAACCACGTGAGGTATGTACATCAAAATCCCTCTGCCCCCACTGTTCCTCAGCCAGGCACTCTTGCGGCCAAGCTTGTAAGCTCACCAGAATCATGTCACTGCAGACAAACCCCTTTATTTGGTGCTGTCAGAACATTGTCAGAAAGAGTTTATCTTCTCAAAGTCTGAACATGAACTCAGAGGCACAGCTCCTGATTGGCTGCCTTTCAATGGTTGGTCCTGGAAAATAGATCATGTCCAGATTTTGAGAAGGTATGCATGTTCAGACAATGTTCAGACAATGTGTGCAACTTGTCCATGAGAGCTAAGCACTGAAGGGAGATTTGCCACAAGCTGTGTCATTATTGTGCCAATTCACACTAGCAGTGTTTGGAGACACCATGAGATGTGGCTATCCTATACAGCAGTGTCATTGCCATCATGCTCAGTGTGCACAACGAGTCCACAAGGACAATATCTAGACAAATATACACACAACATGGCAAAATACGACCAAGTCATTGACCTAGCCATCTTGCTTGTATGACATTCACTTGAACGCAACACAGAGCCACTGATAGAGTCCATGTATTTGTATCCAAGTAACAACACATAAAGAACAATGAGTAGCAGGAGCATTCCGACACTGATGTATAAGTAGCGAGCAGGAACAACATCAAACAGCGAGCGGGACAACAAGGGAGCGTGTAGAGTGCCGAAAGCATGCGGCTCCCCGATACCGGAAGAGCCGAGGCGGGGGATGTGTAACATACAGCACGAGCGCGAGGACGAGCCCCGAGAGCCCGCGATCGCTATGTACAGACAACAAGTCCGTGTCCGCGCGGAGTGTAAGTAGGGGGCGGGGGAGTCGGGGGTATTACGGGGCCGTAGTGACGATAGCGTATCCAGAGTCCGGGAGACGAGTCCATCCGAGAGAAGAGCGCGAGCGCGGGGGTCTAGCCGAGAACGTCGGGGTGCGGAGGGTGTGCCTGCGGAGAGTGGGATCAGTACGGCGTGCGGATGACGATGGCGGCGAGAAGGCTGTCAGTGAGAAGAGGAGACGATCGGTCGCGTGTGCGGAGGGCTGCCAGGACGTGGACGTGGCGAGGTGTGCGTATGGTCGCGTCGCGGAGAGCACAAAGACGACAGCGGCGGAGCTCGATGAGGCCGCCTCGCACCGTCGGCGGAAGCGCGGAGGATGCGAAGGAGCGCGAGGTAGCACCACGTGCGTGTGCGACGCACTGCAAAGGATCGGCAGCGACGGGGACTCTGAGCGTCCGTCAGCTGCACGGCACAGAGCAAGCCGCACCCGACGCGCTGCGGCGGCGATACCAGGCGGGTAGGCGCACTCGGACAGCTGCGGGGACTAGACGTGCGCGAGTACGAGACGTCGGCGACGTACTGGCGAACGACGCACCGTGACATCGGATGACGCAGTACGGGCCGCCGACGGACGGCGAGGGCACGAGTGAGGAGGATGGCGTGGGCGCAGGAGCGGACGGGCGAGTACGACGCGTAGGGGAGAGTGATGGGACGGTACGGAAGACTGAACGCATGGCGTCGCACGGCACGGTAAGATGCAAAGAAGGACGCGCGCCGGGTATGATGACGTTCTCGCGCTCGTCGGCAGCACAGGCGCGGGCCATAGAACGCGAACGGTGGGCACAGAGCAAGAGAGGAGGGGACGTACCAGGACGCGGGGTACTAGGGCGAGTCTTGGGGGAAGGGCAACGGGTATCTCCGTGCGTTGGACCTGGGGAAGCTGCGTCAGATTGGCAGAGAAGGGGCGGAAATGAAGGACGGACTGAAAAGAGAGATCGTATTGGCCGGTGGAGTTGATGTGGGTGTCGGTGGCGATGTGGGCGAGGACGTCGTTGTGGTAGAAGGAAATGATGGGGTAGGAGATGAAGAGGGCGAGGAGGGAGAGGGTGACGGTGACGAGCATGGCGATGTTGAGGACGCCGCGCCAGCTGAGGGAGCGCCAGCAGGCGGTGGACTCGGCGTAGGCGGGGTCGAAGAGGAAGTCGTCGTCGTCGGGGCCGAGGTGCTTGTCGCCGTCGGGGTCGTAGGCGTAGGGGATGAAGCCGCGGTGGGAGCTGGCGAGGGAGGCGGCGGGGTACTTGCTGTCGTAGGAGAGGGAGAGGACGGAGTCGCGGGAGGAGGAGGCGAGGCTGGCGCGGTGCTCGCGGAGGGGCGGGGGGGAGGGGAGGGCGGCGAGGTCGTCGCTGGCGAGGCGGTCGCTGGCGAGGCGGTAGAGGATCATGGAGCCGCGGCGGGAGTCGATGCCGAGGGCATGGGCGTCGTCGGAGGCGACGCGGCGGACGACGGCGAGGGTGTTTGCCTTGGACGAGCGGCGGGGGCGGGGGGTTGCGGTGCCGGGGGTGAAGTTGGGGTTGAGGGGGGACGAGACGAAGGTGGGGGCGAGGGAGAGGGGGCGGGAGACGGAGGAGGCGGAGGCGGAGTCGTCGGAGAGGAGGCGGGTGCGGGCGGCGGGGGGCGGCGGGGACGGGGACGTGGAGCGGGAGACGGAGGCGGTGGAGGGGACGGCGTCGGTGTCCTCGACGGGGGCGGTCTCTTCGCTGCTGGGAAGCAGGCGATCTGCGGGCGCGTGAGCCTATCAGAGTTCGATGAGTGGCGGTGTGCGCACCTGAGCGGCGTGCGTCGTGGCTCGAGTCGGAGCCGGAGCCTGAGGACGACATCGCTGCGGACGGGGGAGACGCAGCGGGCAGCGAGGGGCAGCGGGCAGCGAGGGGCAGCGAGAGGCCGCCGCCGTGGTCGTCCTTATCGTGTGAGGCCACGGCGCGTCATCCCCGCGTTCACACGCGCGCCTATCTCTTCATTAACGCGTGCCCCGATCGGGCGTGCCGAGCCCGCCGCGTCCCGCCCAGCCCCCGCCTCGCGCCCGCGCCCACGAGCCTCCAGGGCGACGGCCGACGTCGCGTGCCGCTGTGCCTGTGGCGGCGCGCTGCTCCCGAGCCGGCTCGGCCGCCCTTCGCCGCGCAACCGTCGCCCGCTCAACGGCCATCGCGTCCCGCCCTCGAACACTCCCCCGCCTGACCCGACCCGCATGTCCTGCCCGGCCTCCCCAGCCCGTGCCCAGCGCACCTGTCACGGTCCGCGCGTATCCCGCACCGCCAGCGTCTGCATGCAGTCCCAGGATGCCCGACGCCGTACAGCGTACGACGTAGCACGCAGCGGACGCACGGTTCGTCGCTCGTACTCGGACGTCCGCCACTCCATTCACGAACAGCGCGTCGTATATGGCTAGGTACTCGCTCCCTGTGCGGTGCGTCTCCGCATCCCATCCTCTCCCTCCTCGCCACCGCCGTGTCCCCTCGACCCGCCGCGCCTTCCCTCGCCTGCCATCCGCGTGTACGGCCGTGACGGTGCGGTCTTCTCGCCTGCCACCCGTCCTGTACAAGCACAGTAGCAGCCGAGAGCGCCGCACCGCCAGGTCACCGCGAGCATGCGACGTGGTGCGTACGCGTGGTGCCGTCCTTGTCGCCGCGCGCAGCCCCCGCCGTCTTTTCCCCTGGTCGCTTCGTTCTGGGCTACGGACGCGCCTTCCGGCACACCACTCTCCTTAGGATCCCTATTAATTGGGGGAGAGGCCTGATCCCAATCCGGACAGAAACAGGCCACTTTGAGGGGGGTATGCCTGATGCAATCCGGACAAAATCGACGTTCATGAGGGCGGATGCCTGAGCCAGTATCCGGATATGGTTCCTCCAGCCCCGCGAGGCCTGATCCTGTCCGGACACCTCAACCGTCCATGTAGCGTCGCAACCTGTCGCGGCACAACCTGAAGCTGACCTACACGTCCGCTGCATGCGCAAGGTCGGCATCATGACTTCCCTGACGTCGAATGCCGAGCAGCCATAGCACGTTGTGCGCGACGAATACGACTGCTGGCATGATCATCGACCAGTAGCCACCCCATCCGTGCACCGTTGGTGCTCACTTGCCCGACCATTTCTATTGACCATGAGTTACATGGCTGACGAGGCCTGATCTTGCAATCCGGACACCGATTCGCTCGTACCAAGGCCTGATGTACAGTCCGGACAGCAGCGGACAATCCTCCCTGAGGCCTGATTTAATCCGGACAAATTTGGACGTCTACGTCCGGACAAAAATGCCAAAATCTCGGGCGGCGGGATCAGGCCTCCCCACCAATAAATCGGGGTCCTCTCTCCTTCCGCTCTTGCGACCGCCCTGCTCGCGCTCTCGCCCGCGTTGTGGCACGCGTCCTCCATCTGCCCGGCGGCTCTCGCTACGGCCGCTTACACATCGCGTTGCCCTAGTGTGCGCTGCGCGAAACGCTCTGCAGGTCTGTGTCGACGACCTGCCTGCCAGGGTGATGCTTTGTTTGGGCGAGACGGCCGATCTTTCAGTACCCCTCCGCCTCTGCAAGGCGACGAGCCCTTTGGCTATGTACGTTCGACGCTCACGCGGTGCGCCGTCGAGACCAGGGAGGCTCTGCACGCCACTGGCACGGTTGCCTCGCCTGGTGAAGATCTAGGACCACGCTGTTCTGCTTCCCTCGATGCAGGCTCGGACTGGACCGGATGCGCTGGGCGACCGCATCGGGCGAGTCGATGCGCATGTGGGTATTCGACGTTCAGCGTCACGAACGTCCCCACGTGTGGTTGTGAGCTCTGAGATGGCCTCCACAGGACCGCGGGCGTCACTCGAGGCTGACAGCAGCGAGGCACTCGTCGTGGCGCAGGCAACACTTCGCTACCTTCGGTGATCGCTGGATGTGAACGAGACGGGCCTAGCGTACGTCGTCCCATTTCCTTGTCGTCGTCACGATGCGTTCCAGTCATTCCGCGCTGTTAGTGCAGTCTCCGCCGAGTCTTGACCGCGTTCCCCGACGCATTCGGGACGCGCATACGAGGTCGAGTGCTACTTGGCGCGGACCGTACAAGGGCGTTCTCTGCAGCGCCGTGAGTACTTCCCTTGATACCGTACAACATAGCGACGACGGAAACTGATGCTTTCTGATATGAGGACGTTATGGTCGCCCTCGACGTTCTTGACCCCGCCAAGGTGGATGGTAGCGAAGAGACGCGGAACGCAGTGCACATGCAAGAGTGTGCGCCGACACAACCGACGGTGGTCGCATGCATCATAGCTCAGTCTCCGGCCGATTCATCCACACATTGTCTGATCAACGGTCATCTCATCTCACCGACTGCAGTCGGACCAGGGCTCGACGACGTCCAGCAGCTTCTTCCACCGCCCCCCGTGCCAGCCCTCCACCGCCCGCCACTCCGCGCTCTCCCGCCCCGCCACGATCCGCATCCAGACCAGCCACCCCGCCACGCTCAGATCCGCGTGCGTCAGCTTCCCCTCGCCGAGCAAGGTCGCCTGCCCGCCCGCGCCGTCCGCGTCGCCCGCGGCGTCGAGCCACCCCGCGGCGACGCCGAACGCGCGCTCGATCGCGGCCCACTGCTGCGCGTGCGCGGGCGGGGGGCAGATCTCCTCCAGCGCGGCGCGGAACATGTGCTCGCGGGTGCGCCGGAAGTAGGGCTGGGAGGCGGGCTGGAGGAGGGGGTGCGTGCGCGGGAGGAAGAGGGGGAGGATCGGGGGCTGGACCGTCGTCGCGAAGGCGTGTTGGAAGGCGGCCTGGCAGGGCGTATCTCAGCTGTATGCGTGCAGGATGAGCGGTGGACGAGCGAGTGCGCACCTGGAATGGGCGCAAGGATTTTGGGGACAGCGCGGGGGTGTCGGGGTACGTGTCGTCGAGGTACGCGGCGATGCGGGCGCTCTCGGCGACGAAGCGCTGCGTGCGCGGGTCGAATATCGCGGGGAGCGTGTAGGGCGTGGGCGTGCCCGGCTCGGTCGGCGCGTGGCCGAAGGACTGGAGGAGCGCCGCGATGTCGGGGTACTCGACCCATACCGTGCGGTACGGGAGCCGCTTGAGGTTCAGCGCGTACCTGCGGGACATGCACTGTACTGTGAGCGGCGTTGTGCGGGAGACGGGGAGGTGCTGACCGGGTCTTCCAGGTGTTGGGCGACCAGGCGGTGCTGGGCGTGCTGCTGGGGATGTCGTAGAAGAGGATGACGTCCGTGTCTGGGAGCGCGGCCATCTGACTTATTGGACGTCGGGGTGGGTTGTGATCAGGGCTCCTCTGGGTCCTTGCGTGGATGCGGCTCGCCTTGCGAAGGGCTACGCTCGCAGCGCTCACACTGCGTTCTTGTATTGGATCCGCCCCGCTCTCCGCGCCCTGTCGTGCCCAATGAGAGCGCGTCCCGCGACCAGGGAGAAAGGGTGAGTATGCGTTGTTTTCAGTGGCAGAAGGGCGACACACAGCGCTCCCTTCATGGTGCGCTCGCCGCACGCTTTCTCGCGCGTTTTGCACGTCTCAGCTCACTCTGCGCTACGGACACTCGGACGCACAGCAGAGCTACAGGTGAGTCCCCTTCTCGAAAACGGCTCCATCTCTCATCCCTGCGTCCCTCGCAGCCCCCTCGTACCAACTCGGCCCACCCGTCCCTCGTCTCGCGCCATCCACCGCCTCCCAGTCGACGCTCGCACTCGCAACGCGTAGCCGCTCCCTCCCGCTCCTTACCTCCGGCTCGCTCGCCATCGGTTGCGTCTGCAGCACGATCCGTCGCGTCTTCCGCGCTGACACGTCGACACGCGCCGAGAACGACTCTCCGCGCCCGCTGGCCTCACTCATTCACCGCCCGCCTCGCTCGCCAGACTGTGATCTGCGGCTGCGTCCTCGCCGTCGTAGGTGTGTACTCGCACCTCTCTCGTACTCGCCGGACGACGATCCATTGCGTCTTTGCCGGTCAAGACGCTTGTCGCAGCACCATGCGCGAAAACGCTGTGGGTAAGTGTCCGTGTCTCGCGGCTGGTCACTTTGCTTACCTCGCCTCCCGCTGTCCCCTCGCACCTCCACGTCGGCTGCCTGTCCCGCTCGCCGGGCGAACGTCCATCGCGCAATCGCTGACCGGGACGTTTGCCATTTCGGGCCCTTCTGCGCGTGGTGATCATCCGCGCGTTGAATCTGTCGCCGATCCCCGGGGTGCAATGATGGTCGCGTAGTGCCAGCATTGGGCGCGCACGGGCAATGAACCCAAGCAGGGTGAGGGACGAGCAAAGAGACCAGCAGAACAAGAGTGAATGTCGATCAATGACCGCGCGCGCGAACGGAAGAGCCCCCGAGCAAGAGCAGTCGATATCCCGAGCGGGCGGCCAATGAAACAGGCGGTTTGCAAGGGAGCAGACCGGCCTTGGACTGCAGCCGGTTGCGAGGACACGCGCAAACATGGACCGTCGCAGAGCTCAAGCAGCTCGTCAAGAGACCAAAAGTCTTCGACATCACCGCCGCCGATACCAGTATTGCAACCACGCGTGATGCGGTCTGAAGGAGAAGCAGGCGGGCATGTCGCTCCAGGCGAGGACGCGTCGAGCCGAAGGTCGACATCGACTACCAGAAGCTGCACGACATGCCAGTGGTCTGGCCAGGCCGTGCCGCGCGAAACAGCGCTGGGAACGAAGGTAAGTACCGCCGCACGGGTCCCAAGGCACAGCGCACGCACCAAGGCTACCGGGCGCAGACGTGTTGCACACGCCGCAGCCGTGCGCTCCAAACGCGTCTCGCAGAGGCCCTGTTGGGCGGCAAGAGATCAGAACCAGGACGAGAATGGGTGAGAAGCTGTGCGTACCTCCTTCGCGTGTCGATTCGACATCGACCGGCCGGTGCTCGTCTAATCACTTCCTTAGGGTGACTATACCGAGGCGTAGAGAACGCGCCTGCGGCGCGTCTTCGCCGCCGATGTCCGTCGA